AGGTTCCTATTGTAAGAATTTATTTTTAAGAACAACGTGTGTATGGTGTTGGGTGTGGTTTAATTCTAGGTTACAATTTTTTACATTTAAAAAATCTCAAGTGTCTGGTATGGAAAGATGAAGTATTAGTCGTTTAAGTAGGTGGATCCATTAGTAAGTTTGCTATTCATCTTGGCTTCACCTCCACAAACTTGATGCAATACGACTCTGTACTGAATGAAACAAATTCCTGGTATATTTCTGCTGCAATAGAGGGAAGCAGCAGCAGCTATAATTTGTAGAAATCTCTTTCAATCAAGACTCACTCTTCAGACACACTTGCTTCATATGTTATTCCAGATGTACCACTCATCTTGAAACTAGGTAGGAATTGATAGCTCCAATGCTAGAAGAGTCTTATTAAAGTAGAACAATTTACAGCTCTCTGAGGCTGCTTTTCACTTTGGGAGCAGATCCAGAGAACAGTCTTACCCCAAGCTGTATCAAAATGAATTGAAGGCTTTGAGTGAAAAAATAAAAATATTAAATTTATTCTGGTTTTGTTAGAGTTCAGTGTTGCATCCAGAGCGTGTCCTATTTTCAATATTAAAGGTTAGTAGGAGTTATATGGCCTGTATGTTTACAATAATAAATGCATGCTTGTATTAAATAAGTGATCTATTAAGGGAGCTGATTTGTTACTTATTGCTTAATGTGAATCCTCTTTCTTACTGCTGCTAATCCGAGTGAGATTATTGCATAAATACTCCAAAGTGCTTTTAACACATTAGGCTAAAAGCCCTGTATGGATCTGCCCAGCTATGCCTCATAGGGCAAACGGGAAATGCCTGAAGCTGCTTTACTAGATCATATGTTATATATGATATAAGATAGGAATATATACAGATGCCTTTAAAGAAGTTAAAATAAATGTGTAGAATCTGTTGTCAGAAAATTATTTGTTATGAATTTCAGTATTTTTGGATCTTTGAGACTTGCTCCTCTTTGCAACAGTCTCCTGGCAGGGCAGCAAATGCCTCTGCCCCTTGAGCTCCTGGAGTCAGGAGTGTGGGGATGGCCGCAGCTGTGAATGAATCATAGAATCATAGAATGCTTAGGGTTGGAAGGGACCTCTAGAGGTCATCTAGTCCAACCCCCCTGCATACGCAGGGACACCTAGAGCACGTGGCACAGGACTGCATCCAAGCGGGTTTTGAAGACCTCCAGAGAAGGAGACTCCACAACAGCCTGTTCCAGTGCTCTGTCACCCTCACTGTTAAGAAATTTTTCCTTAAGTTCCTATGGAATTTTTGGTGTTTCAGTTTCC